TTTTTTCTAATTTTTATGATATAAAGTGGATAAACACTAATCCCTTAAAATATTATATATATTTACTTAATAATATAAAAAAATTAAAAAAATTTATAAGCCCATATTATTCTTTTAAGTATAAATAAAATATCAATCCTAACATGTTAGGTAGAAATATATAGGTAAAAGCTTACTTTAATCCCTCACCTTGTTAAGTTTGAAGGTTTTAGCCATTCACCTTATATTATGATATTTTTAGTCTCTCACCTTATACTATAACACTTTTAGTCCCTCACCTATTAAAATTGAAAAAAATAGCCCTCACTTTGTAACATTTTGTTAGTTCTGTTAGCTAACTGTTAATTCTATTAACTGATTATTAGTTGATTGTTAACTGTTAAAAACCTTCTTTCAACCAACAGAACTAACTTTATAATATTTTGTTAATTCTGTTAATTAACTATTAGTTGACTATTAGTTGATAAAAATCTACTTTCAACTAACATAATTAATAATCAGTATAAAGTGAGGGCTATTTTCTTCGATTTTAATAGGTGAGGAGCTAAAACCTTCAAACTTGATAAGGTGAGAGGCTAAAAATAGGTTTTTGCCAAATATATACATCAGATGTATTACGTGGACAAATGGGAAAAAGGCTAAAATCCTAGTAGGTGGATGGTCACGAGGTTCGACGTAGACTGATAGACACATCGCCAACTACACTGTCAGTTGTTAGAATAATGGTTCAGTTATGAATGTTAGTCATAGTGACAATATTTTCATAAAGTCATTGACTTTACCAAATGTTCTATCAATTTCAAAACTTAGTTATAATCTTCAATCATTATGACTTTTGATCATTTTCAAGCAGTCATTTTCTTTCTGTTACTCCTTTTGATCTTGTGCATTTTGACACTTGAGGTCTATTTCTTACGTCCATCATGGGGGTTCTGAGTATTTTATGTTTCTTATTATGTTTCTTATTGATTATGATACTTGTTTTACCTAGATATATTTTATGAATAATGGCTCTAATGAAATTGAGCACAATTTTGCAAAGAAATAGCCCACTTCCTTCTCGAGAAGGGATGGGAAACATGCTCAATATCATTTGATTGAGTAGTTGACCTAGCTCCTTGTTGTTTGAAGAAACCCTCCACTTCAATTGGTAGTTTTTCACGAAAAGCAAGCATGAGATAACAAATCTAGTCTTTCACTAAGATTTCAAATAACTGTCTCAAATTCAAGTTGATTTTGTTTTGCCTCTATTTTTGTCAAAGAGTAATATGAATATTATATCATGTTCTATCAACACACTAAATGGATTATACCATATCTCTGGTGTGGAAGTCAGCCAACATTTACATTGGCAAATCGAAGCTTTCCAAGTCCATGCCCAAGTCTGTATTACTTCTTGGGTTGTAATTGCTATCTTATGAGGTTTCGTCGTTATTGTAGTCCGGAATCCACAAACCATTCCAACTGACAGTCAAAATTTCTTCAAATATGTTCTTGAATTCATTCAAGACATAAACGAAACTCATATTGGAGAAGAATATGGTCCGTGCATGAAAATAGATTTTTTTAGTTTTTTTATCAATTAATCTATTAAGTATGTCTATATATACACATTTTTTGTCCCTAAACTTTTAAATTAAGGGACAAAAGTTGTGAAAAATCTTAAAATTGGAGGACTAAAAGTATGTATATATAAATAAATTTAACAAATTAACTGATAAAATGACTAAAAACATACATATTTTATAGTTAAGGAAATAAAAAAAATTAAGAAACCAAAATTGTGCAAAATCTTAAAGTTAAAAGACTAAGTTTGCATTTAACCTAACGAAATTTATTTTTCAGTTATGAGACCTTTTTCAGGAGAATGCAAAAGAGTAGTTTGCCGTTTCCTTAGCGCACATGGTTATGTAGAAAACGATTAGGAGTTCTGG